GTATTACATAGTAGGCTACTAATGTCTATTAATATAAAACGAGGGCTACTATTTACCCCTATCTTTTTTCTTTTCCCCCCACGTGTCTCCCCGAATGGCATAGTGTAGCCTACAAAACAACTAAGGTGAACTACTTGGCGGATGTATGCCAGAAAACCCCTCTTGTGCTTAAGTTAGCTCTTAAGATCAATATAGGAAAAGCTCTCTAGAAATTCAGCGAGTAAAATTGCATTACCTCTTTAGGGTTCACTTCTAAGCTTTTATACATTCCACAAGGTAGACTCTCAATAGAACTCTAATTCGTCTTTGTCGAGTCCTATCAGAAATCCATCTCTTAAAGGAGAATGCCTATCATTTAACACCCTTATCTCCAAAGTTCAAGTGAAATAACACAACTCTTAGCCCAGCAATTAGGCTAAGAACATCATTCCAGTTAGCCAAGGACCAAGCAACTGTGCTACCCTTAGACACAAGACCCAGCTCGGTTGTTCGGCTGAATCATGTAACTAACTCCGCCTTGTCATAACTCGCCAACCGTTGTCCAGTCCTCCGAAGGTAGCACGGTCTCAAAGCCATTAGAATGATGCGAAGAGCAAGACAGTCAATCTAGCTTGGCCCAAACACAAGGTTCATATTAGCGTAGCTCGGCCCATTTGCACACAACCTTAGCCCAGCTCGTTGCACGGCCCAAATCCAAGATTCACGCAAACTTAGCTCGACCCATTTGCACGGCGCAAATTACCCTCTCATATGTGTAGGTTATTCGAGCTTGTGAGATAAAATTGACCTTAATTTGAAGTATTTTAAGCCCGAGAAACAAAAACTCAAGACTCAAAAGATATAAATAATTGAATCACACAATAAAAGCCCAACCCATGAGATTTAAAGAAAGAAAAATTAAAATTGTTGTAATCCCACTATAGAAGTCACTATGCTCAGCCTTCAGTATTTTGGATGTATCTCTCTCATCCGATATCGGATTGAAGTGATTCAAGTAACATTAGAAAGATAACTCAAAGGTTTATGATTTGTGTGAAATAGGAATTTTCCAATTCTGACTTTTAATAATAAGATAAGCCTAAAAAACTAGGAATAATTACATCTGAATTTTTCTTTCATTTTGGGAAATTCTAACATCTTGGGTATTACATAGAAGGCTACTAATGTTTATAAATATAAAACGAGGGCTACTATTTGCCCCTATCTTTTTACTTTGCCCCCCACATCTTTGAACCCCCACCTAGGTAAATGAGTCCTCCCCCCCCCCTTCCATTTTCTCTTTAAACCCCCACCTTAATTCCAAATATACCCTCTCTCCCAATTTACCCCTAACCTCTCTACCCATCACCGACATTCCCCAATTTCCACTAGTGACACCAATTTCCGACCGCCACTCCAAATTCAAGTGAGACGCAGAACCCACAATTCAACAAACAATCCACAAATTTCAGTAACCAAGCAACGACAAATCTAAAAACACACATCTTCTGGGCTTGGCCACAACTTTAACAGCACAATAGTTTTTGATTCGATCTCTGTCTCCGATTTCGCCTCCTCCATTGGAAACAACATGCCGTCAATCCCCTAAACCGAAATCCGACCATCGGTGTGAATATCTGGGTAAAACAAGTAAGTCGACGCCCTCATTGCGCCTCTCAAACCCATAGCAATCACTAACACCGCGAACGAGAGAGTGAGGTCTAGTCCAGATCTACACAGATCTGGAAGAAGAAGCAAAATCGAGAGAGATCGGGAAAAATGAAAAAGAAGAAAAAGAAAAACAAGAAGAAGAAGGTGGAAAGGTTGGGTCGTGATGGCGAGGGTGAGCGGCGACAAGGTTGTTCGCGACGAGGCAGTGGTGTTGTTCACAATGGGGCGGCGAATGGCGGAGTTAAGTTGCGATGGCAAGATGGGAGAAGAAACTGGTTTATGTTCAAGGTAGGGATGGTCGTCGTTGTTGGAAAGGGAGTCGCCAATCTGGCTGGTGGTGAGGGATTGGGTGGTTGTAGCTGGCAGTGAAAGGCTGGTCGGCGACGGGTGGAGGTGGTAGCCGGAGTTGAGAGGGGTTAGGTTTACATTTTGGAAAATTAGGGTTAAAATATTATGGATGAAAGTAAAAGTGGAATTTTATGTTGGCACAAAATTTGAATAAATAAAAAAAATAGAAGAGGTAGAGGTTCTAAGAAAAAAGGTAGGGGTAAATAGCAACCCTCGTATAAAACCCTATTCATTAATAGGGTTGTTCATGATTTTAAAGAGAGAGGGCAAAGGCTACGAAGACATGTGTGGCTAAGGAGCTTTTCTCTTAGGATTTAGATGAAACTCTACTCAAGTAGCAATGTTTTGTATTTAGTTCTAAATTTCTATTATTTGATTCAACAGTTGTATAAGATTAAGGCTTTCCTATATTATTAATTTGTTTTGAATCTTTCTACCCAGCACATATTCTTAGTTTTTGTGATACTAATTGCATGCTTATATAACGATTTTTATTGATTTGCTTTTACTTGATTAAAATAGTTTACACTAGGGGAGTCTAGTCGTGCCGTGAGACGACTCGTGCCAGTACCAGAAAATCTATGCTAATCGTTAAATTACAAATTGGATGATACTATTGGGACTTGTAGTTACTAACAGATCATAGTTGAATTGAATAACAAATCACTAAATTGTTACAGCTCATTGATTGCAAGGTTAGAGTGGATTCGAAACGTTGAGTCTCTTCTATTTGATTAATACCAATTTAATTATATTTATTTTTTTAATTTAATTACACAAAATTCTTCAAAATTCTTTATAGTCATGAGAAAGAAAATAAGCATTATGGAAAAAAAATTGTGATTTAATTGATGTGGTTTCTTCATATGCTTCTTCTTACCAAGTGATGACAATCAATTAAATTTATAACTTGCAGACATAGACCTGAAATTCCAACCTATAACGATATCAAAGAAATTGCAACAACATTTTTCAAAACTCTATGTTGATCATAGTAATTCCTGCCACAATGCCCATGGTGAAAGTTCACAAACTGTGCTCCAAATATAGTTATGTGCAAAATCAAAATCTCACCCAACAACAACCAAGTCTCTTCTTCCTTCCTCTATAGCTTCAAAATTTTCAAGGTCTATTTTTCAGTTATGGAAAGCTACAAAGGTTATGGAAAGCAACAAATATATTGAGCTATTAATTGTGCTCTTGAGAAGAGTAGCTCAGTTTGGTTTTGGATTGCAATAATCTTGAAGTTGAATCTGGCTGGCTTCTGTAGTTGCAGTAGCAGATGTTAGGTTGATTTGCGAGTGGATGTTTTATGTAACAAATCATATTTTCAACCCAGCTTGTAGCTGTTGGCTACGGAGGCATGCCCTCCTTTTTGTTTCTGTTTTCTTCCTTTCAAAGAGTTATTTTTACCGACCACAAAAAAAAGGTTATGGTTCTATAAGGTAGAAGAAGACTTTGATTTCTAGATGGGGAAAAAAAGGCTATAATTAGTTTGAATTTGAAAGTTCCTAGTTGCAGGATTTGCAAAAAGTGGTTGCTGAAAGGTCTAGAAAGCATGCAATGTTTGTTTGGGTGGACATGAGCTTGGGATTGGACTAATAGTCCAATAAAATTATTAATCCGATGTTTGGTTAAACAATTGAAGTAGGGACTAATTATTTTAAACTTGACTATTAGTTAAGATAGGATACATAATCCAACGGATTCGTAGTCCTAGGACTATTAGTCATGGGAATACTAATCCAGTCCGCCCAAACAAACATGGCCTTAGTGTTTAAATGGTTAAATTGAAAGCCAATAACTAAGGAAAGTGGTTCGTACAGTTAAAGCTTTTATTTTCTATGACTGTGAATAGTAACCCAAGAGTAGCGTTTGTAAGAGAGACAACAACACCGCCACTGCCGCCGCCGACACCACTGACAAAGAAGAAGAAGAGGCTAGAATACCCAACGATTTTACCTAGACTTCCTTCGAAGTTACCCCTTACGATAATTTGCACAAATTCTCCAAAATGAAACTCCATAAAATAGTTAATTATATAAATATGTAGAGGTTGTTGGTCTCCTAAATCTACTAGAACTAATTAAAAAAGTTAGAAACTTTGACTAACTAAAATATTCTATTAGCTATCTATAAAACCCAAAAATATAACTTGACTCATAAAATGACCCGTAGGCAATCCCTACAAATTATAGGCTTATAGCCAATGTCCAGCAATTTGTAAAAAAATCCAAAATATCCTTAACTACTAAAGCCTAATAAAAACAAACAAAACTCTCCAGCGCTCTAATTTATAAGAAAAACATAAAAACAAAAATAAAACTAAACGTAAATATTATATAAAGCTCTAGGTGTGTTCCATGTGAAATTTGAGAATTGCCCTTTTTCTTCTTTTCATGTTATGAATCAAGAAGAGAAGCTTATAGTTACGTGAAAGAGCTAATTACTAAGGTAGGAGAATAACTTCAATGACCTTGGAAAAATGGAAAAATGAGCTACTGAGCAAAGGAAAGATCCACAAAGTTTAACTATTAATGAAAACAACCGTGCTGGGGACCCCCAGTGGGGGGTGACCCCCAGCACCCCCACTCCACATGGGGCTCTGTGATTGGTAGAAAAAAAAAAAAAAAAAAAAAAAATTCCAGCCAATAAGAAAACACTGGGGGTTTGAAAAACTGGGGGTGCCAATCATTTTTGTAATGAAAATTCACGGAGAAAATTTAGACTAGTACCAGTAGTACCATTAAGCCTTAATTATTCACTACAGAGAGAAGACAAAATAAAAAATAAAATCACTATATATAGATATCAAAAGATGCAAATAAAAATGCAACATAATTTGTCTGCGTGGTTTAGAAATTAAAATTTTCAAATTACCTGTTTGGCACTTCACTGATCAAGATACTCACAGTTTAAGCTTCAGAGTGGGATAGTTTCGACTTCTAGCTGCAGCATCTGCTATTCACCTGGCAATGAGGTTATTGCGATGGAAAATAACATTCATATTTTTGTTAGGATTTATGAATCTGATTAAATCACAACCTTACAACTAGTAACACAATAATCTTCTGAGTCTTTTTGTCTCGGAGAAGCACATTACTGGCTCAAGATGCAAGGACTAAACACTAATGGTGAAACTTTAAATGCTGATAAAGTGGAACATGTCTCTCAATGTTCGTAAAATATAGCTGATTTACATTTGCAAGTGATAATTTTAAGACCACAAAGTCATAGAAGTTGATCAATGATCAAATCCATACCACCATTAATTGCAGGCCAAGAAGAGTGCAAGGTAGTGTTGAACAATCTGGAACAAGGCCTTCAAGAGCTCAAGCGTTGTAGGTTTATGTTACTTTGGTCTCATCTGTTCATAGTTCTCCACCCAACATAGTAATTTGGCCAAGAAAAAATACTTCTGTTTGATTACTAGTCATTTCTTACTACACTACAAATTGGTGTACATTTTTGTTTTTGAACTACGTGATTAACTGTGTTTATGTGCATAAATTTGATTGCTGCAAGCCTCCAACATGATAAGCACTCTAACACGCTGGAAACTTCAAGCTGTCTGAAGTATGGGAATATAGTGTAGTCAAAGCCTCATATCCCACTATCCTCCAAGTGATGTTGTGTTCCCATGGTCTCTGCTGCATGATTAAGAGATAGATCCCAAAAATAATATATTGGCAAAAACCACACAACAGAACAGAAAACATTGAAGAGTCAATACCGTGATATCCATACCTGAATGTTTGCATTTTTTCCATCTGCCCTCTAATTAATCAGTCACCAGACCTTCACCAATTCCATCATCCATCAAATTCAAATTTGATGAATAAAGAGCTAAAAGTGAGCTTTAATCATTTCATCAAAGTTGTTTCAAATCAAGAGGGGCAAAATTTTCAGCAAATTTTGAAAAATCTTTTACTCAAATTTGATGAAATTTTAAAAAGAGAAAGGATTGGAGATGATTTTCTTTCATCAAAAATGGTCAAAACGAACTTTTAGGATAAGTTTGAAATTTTTCAAAAAAATCTAATGAAAGCAAAAGAGTAAGGACTAGAGTATTCCATACCACGTCAAGCTTTTAATCAAAATTTTCACTCAAATATGATGATGGGGGGAAAAAAAATTCAAGGATTGGAGTTGCTCTGAAGGCACAGACATTGGCTCTTCTGTTTTTACGCTTTATCTAGTTGGAAGTGTTCTTGTCACTTGAACTGAATTTATTGTTCAAGTTTTTCCACACAACAAGCATCCCAATTCACCATAATGGAAAATTAGGGCTAGTCTAGTGGTATGGAAATTTAGAATGTGATCCAAGCACTATCCACCATTTTCCTTGGCTACACAGCAAGGCTTAGAAGGTGTAAACTATAAACAAGAAGGAGCCCAAAGCCTGTACTCAATAACTCTTCACTATATCAGGGATTACCTTCACATGATATTCATATAGATAACGATGTCATCCATATGCCACTGAGAAAATTTAGAGGAATTATTTGAGTGGGACAACAACTTTGTCTTCTCCAACCATTGACTTTAGCATGCAGTAACTAGACAATAACTTTGTCTTCGCCAACCATTGACTTTAGCAGGCGGTAACTAGTATCACAACATTCTTGTCTCATATGTTGATATTACCCGTATCTGTATTGGTAGCGTGTACATCCATGACTGATACTAACACTTAATTTTTTATTTTTATAGAATTTAAACATTGTTTTCTCCTACTTGTACATGGATTTTTATTTTTTATTTTTTATTTTTTTTGGGTCAAAAACTTGTAGATAGGATTGCAAACCTACAAAATCTAGTCAACATTTGTATAGTATTTAACAAGCATCTAGCCCAATCACTCCTTTTTCTAATGAACAGAAGAAAAAAGAAAACCAAAGTTACAAATCACAGACCAGTCTCTAATCGCAATTAATTAAATGCAAAGGAATCCCCTTAGAGTTAAGATTTCTCACCACTAGAACCAATTGCAACATTTAGATTGGCATCCAACTATTCTTGGAATTCGTAGAATTCATTGTATGAGAAAATGAAATGGGTTTAGGATCACTGATTTTCCTTTTAACAGGTAAGAAACAAAATGGTTATCTTGAATCACAGTAGATAAACTAGTGTCCAAATAAGAGGAAGTGAAAGAAGTCAAATCCATTAAATATGTAGATCTTGTGTTTTACACAAATCACCCACTGAGATGATGAAGCAATAAGCTACAATAGTATACCATTAATCATGAATATTGGACACCAGACAGTAGAAACTCACCGGACCTTTTTATGCGGTTTGAAAGGAAAGCGGGAGGGAGTAGAAGGGGATAATTCAACTGGTAGCTGGGGAGATTCCAACTCCCCAGAAAGCATTCCCACAACTTCTTTCATGGAAGGCCGGCGAGCAGGCGATTTCTGAAGGCAGAGAATCGCAACAGTAATGCATAATAGAGCTTGTTCTCTATCCAAAGATTGAACAGACTGATCAACTAAATCAATAAGCTTCCCTGCACGTGCCAGATGACGTGCCCAGGATATAAGATTGGCGCGTTGGAATTCGGACATGGGTGAACCAGTCACCTGAAGTGGCCTTCGACCAGCAATTAGAACGAGCAATAGAACCCCAAAACTGTAAACATCACATTTTTCCGAGAGATCCCCACCACCACCATACTCAGGGGCAATGTAACAAACAGTTCCACGCATACTCGGTGTGCTGCTAATGCCACCACTTTTGGGTATCTCTCCACTAGCAGAGTCATAGCTGTTGCGATGACCTCTCCAAAGCTCGCCACTAAGCCCATCCAACCACCAGTCCACACTACCTCGACTACTTCTGCTCCTGCTCCTCTTCTTCTTTCTATTAACATATAATTCTTCATCCATTGGCCACAAATTATCACTATTATTGCCATCGCTTGTCGACTCTTGTTTCTTCTGCTTTTTCTTTTTCTTTCTTGCTAGTTCTTCACAGTATTCCTCCTTCCACCACTCCCTTGCCGGTCTCCTCTTCTCTTTCTTCACATTCTTATCCTCATCCAAAGTGGTCCACCAATCCAATCTTTTCTTATTCTTCTTTCTATCTGATTTTCCAATCGGCCCTGAACTCGAAGAAGGAGCTCCAACCCATTCACTTTTCGGCCTCTCCTTCTTGATCTCACTGCCAATCCATTCCATCACATAGTCCTTCACAACAGCCGACTCTGTTCCATCGTTATCTTGTTTCCACCACCAATCCTTCCCTGAACTACTCTTCATCCGCTTCCCACCCCTCTTGACACCACCACCATTCACCATTTCCACCCCACTCCCCACACTGGCCCTATCGAAATTCCCCTCCGACGGCGATGCCATCGGTGAAAATGACGCTCCCTCAACCGTATCAGGAGATGCCAGAGTCCCAAAAACCGTCTCTGGCGATCCCTCCAACCCCATAACCATCTCCGGCGAAGTCTCGGCGATCGGAACCCTAACAAAACTCTCCGGCGAGTGATTAACACCAACGTTGAACTCGTCTAAACCCATCGTCGTCAGACTCTCCGTCTCTTCAACCACAGATCCATTGTCCTCAGCTCTGCCTCCACCATTAAACTCCAACACCTTTTTCCCCTCAAATCCACCGTTCATTACAGCAATTTCACACTGATCCTCCGGCTTCAACCTTGCCAAACCAAAATCACTGATCTTCGCTCTGAAATTCCGATCCAACAGTATATTACTCGGCTTTATATCGCCGTGAATCACAGGAGGATCACAGAAATGGTGGAGATACTCCAAACCTTTTGCTATATCGATTGCGATCGCGAAACGCTTGTTCCACTTCTTCAACTCCTCACACTTGCGATGGAGCAAGCAATCTTGCAAGCTTCCATTACTCATGAGCTCGTAGACCAGTAACATACGGCGTCGCTTTCGATCGGAGGAGAAGCCAATGACGGAGACGATGTAATTGGAATCGATCTTTCCGGCGAAGAAGATTTCGTTCTGGAACTCGCGCTCGCCTTGAAGAGAACCAGCGTCCATGAGCTTCACGGCGATTTCTACGTTGTGGGTGGTGAGAGCTCCGCGGTAGACGGAGCCGAAGCCGCCCTGTCCGAGGCGGTGGTCGGCGGAGAAGGAGGAGGTGGCGTGGCGGAGGACGGAGTAGGAGAAGCGGTGTGGGGGCTTCGAGTCGGAAGGGACGGTTCGTTTGCGGATGATTTTGCGGAGGCAAACAGTGAGAAGGATGAGGAGGGAGAAGGCGGCGGCGACACCGCCGGCAAGTGGGGGGAGGAGGCGGTGGCGGTGGTGCGGCGGCGGCGGCGTTAGCGGCTGGTCCGGCGGCATCGGGCGAGAGGGCATGGTGGTGGTGATGGAAAATTGGTAGAAATTGGAGAATCAAGAGCTATGATGATGATGAAGAAGAGACATGAGTTTTGCCTTTTGGGAATGGTAATTACAAAAACTTTTAACCAGTAGTTGAAGAAAGCAGAGTATGTTATGTTAATCTGTGTGAAGCGCCCACTTTCTTTTTCTTCATCTACTCAACGAAGATGGAGTTGGTTTGGTGGCCTGCTTTGTTTACTAAAAATAAAAAATAAAAAATTAAATAAAAAAAAAGTAGGCTCACATATGTTAGCCGAAATTAAATTGATAAGATAAGAGATTCCAACTCCCCGAATCAGTTTTGTACGAATTATTTATTTTCTTGCTATTTATTTTTTTCACACAAAACTAATTTAAACACGTGATTGTCGCTATCCGACAGATATAATTTTTTACAGAGATAATATAATCGATGAATCCTAAAATATTAATGATTCAAATCATTAAAACAAAACCCGAAAGTAAATCCAATAAGTCCAACAACACCTCTACTGTCATTATATAACACTAAGGATCCTCTAGAGTGAAATTTTCCTAAAGTTTCCTAGAGTGCTACATTGTGTGGTTGAGATTTACTGGCAAGTCATATCAATTTTTCTGATGTGACTTGCCAGTAAATCTCAACCACACAATGTAGCACTCTAGGAAACTTTAGGAAAATTTCACTCTAGAGGATCCTTAGTGTCTGCAATCAATTCTCTATACCCTTTCGTGTTTTGCTTTTTAGGGGTTTTGACATATCATTTTTCTTTTTCTGTTCTTTTAAGTCAAGAGTATAATGTTTTGGAATTGTTATTTCCACTTCAAATTTTAAAGTTTCAAACGATAGTGTTCAAAATGAATAATATTACAAATTCATTTTTATCAATTTAAAAAGAGATTTTCATTAATAAATTTTATTTAGAAGTATTTTAATTTAAGAAGTTCATAAAAGAATTTTTTAATCCACTTACATATATTTATACTTTTATTCTATAAATTTTTTTTTCTTAATTTACAATATTTTCTTGGACTTTTATTCCCTTATATTTAATATTGATATTCAATGTTGAGAGGGAGAAAAGAGAATGGAAAAGACTAAGGCATAAGAAATTTCATACACAAATTAAATAATATTGATGCTATTATTTTATATTATTATATAATGTGAGGATATTTTTAATTGACAACACATTAAAAATAATGTGAACATTCCCTCTTATTTTTAATCGACAACAAATTAAAAATAACGTTCATTATATTTAATTGACAACACATTCTTATTCACAATATGTAATGATGTGAATGTTTACAACATGTGAACATTCTCTTTCATCTAATGTAGTGATGTAAACGTTCACATTCATATAATTTAGTATGAATATTCACATTATGTAACTAACAACACAATGAAAAAAATTCATTTCAAATTAATGTGAATATTCATTTCAATTACATGATGTGAATATTCACATCATGTAATTGACTACATAATGACAAAAATTCATTTCAAATTAATATGAATATAATGACAGTCAACATCATAATGCATGAGAACTACTAAAACATAATGACAATCAACATTAAATATCAACATTAATAGGGGGCAGGAGAGATTGAGGGTGTTTTAGTCTTCTTACCTCAAATCTATACTATATATTAAGTAAAGGGGGTTTTTAATCCCAAGCCTTGTGGGAGCTCTAATCTTCTAATCTAAATTTCCTGATTTTTTGATTTAAAAAAAAAAAAAAACCTTAGCATTTATTAACTTCTCCCAACCCCCAAATCTTACTCTCATAATAACACTTTAATGCATTAAGAATAGGGGTTTTTTTTTTTTAAGCTCCCTAATAATAACAATTTTCTGTATAAAGGACATTAAAAAATGTAATACTGCCTCAGGTCCCTAACCAAAATACCTGCGCATTTTATCAATTTCTTGGACCAAAATACCCTACGTCTGTTCATCTTCAGATGAGTTGATTTTTTTGACCTGAATGGTGCAATTTCAATGCGTGTTTAAACCTTTTCAATCTCAATTTTTATCATTTCTGGTTGTAGGAATGAGAGATGATTCAAAGGAATTTGCGTTGGAATTGTTCGATGCTCTGAGCAGACGACGAAGGTTGAATGTTGACAAGATCAGCAGAGATGAGCTTTACGAGTATTGGTCTCAAATCACTGATCAGAGCTTCGATTCTCGACTCCAGATCTTCTTCGACATGTATGCATTATTATTTTTTCTTTTCAAAAAAATTTAATAGATGTATATATATATATAATCTGTTGCTTACTGTCTTGACTAGTATATATATCATAATTAATCAATTAAGACCATTTGCAACCATAATCAAACAGTCACTCTTAGTTATCTTATCTATGGTTGCAAACATATATATATATATATATGATACATACATATATATATATATATATCTCTGGACTACAAAGAAAAGTCCAGAGAAATTTGTGAACTTATGTTTATGTCTTGTGTCTAATTTTCTCTGGCATATTTATTTTGTTTAATGCTCCATTTCCTCAAAATTTCTCTGTTGTGTAATTTTCTCTGTCATGTTTATGTTGCTACCTTGTAACACAACATATAAGTCCAGAGAAATTTGTAATACTTATCATTTGTAATGCAATCATATGATTTTCTCTGGACTACAAAGAAAAGTCCAGAGAAATTTGTGAACTTATGTTTATGTCTTGTGTCTAATTTTCTCTGGCATATTTATTTTGTTTAATGCTCCATTTCCTCAAAATTTCTCTGTTGTGTAATTTTCTCTGTCATGTTTATGTTGCTACCTTGTAACACAACATATAAGTCCAGAGAAATTTGTAATACTTATCATTTGTAATGCAATCATATGATTTTCTCTGGACTACAAAGAAAAGTCCAGAGAAATTTGTGAACTTATGTTTATGTCTTGTGTCTAATTTTCTCTGGCATATTTATTTTGTTTAATGCTCCATTTCCTCAAAATTTCTCTGTTGTGTAATTTTCTCTGTCATGTTTATGTTGCTACCTTGTAACACAACATATAAGTCCAGAGAAATTTGTAATACTTATCATTTGTAATGCAATCATATGATTTTCTCTGGACTACAAAGAAAAGTCCAGAGAAATTTGTGAACTTATGTTTATGTCTTGTGTCTAATTTTCTCTGGCATATTTATTTTGTTTAATGCTCCATTTCCTCAAAATTTCTCTGTTGTGTAATTTTCTCTGTCATGTTTATGTTGCTACCTTGTAACACAACATATAAGTCCAGAGAAATTTGTAATACTTATCATTTGTAATACAATCATATGATTTTCTTTGGACTACAAAGAAAAGTCCAGAGAAATTTGTGAACTTATGTTTATGTCTTGTGTCTAATTTTCTCTGGCATATTTATTTTGTTTAATGCTCCATTTCCTCAAAATTTCTCTGTTGTGTAATTTTCTCTGTCATGTTTATGTTGCTACCTTGTAACACAACATATAAGTCCAGAGAAATTTGTAATACTTATCATTTGTAATACAATCATATGATTTTCTTTGGACTACAAAGAAAAGTCCAGAGAAATTTGTGAACTTATATTCACTTTCAATATAACAAAAACAAAAACACATTAACATCAAGAGACAAAAATATATTAAACACAAGCACATAAAAAAATCACAGAGAAAATCTGTTATGTTCACAAAACACTTAATTCAAAAAAAATTTTTAAAAAAAACAAAACATTTACTGCTCTATTGCTACGTCTGTAAATTTCTCTGCCTACTTACAATTTTCTCTGTGATTTTCACTGCACTACAAGCTTATAATTTTCTCTGTGATTTGAGTTCAATTATAGTAACAAACTTGCAATTTTCTCTGCACTATACAAAAAATGCAAAGTGAACAAAAAACAGAGCACAAAAACGTAGAAAAACAGAGCACCAAAAAACAACTCATAACCATGTTGACAGAGAATGAAAAGCAACTCCAAAAATCAAAATCAACTCCATCGAAAATTCATCAATAACAGATAATGAAAAATTAACTTCAAAAATCAAAAACAACAACACTGAGTTCGTCTCTCTCACATTGATCAAAACTAAAAACAAAAACCTAATTCAACACCTACACGATCAAATCATATCAAAAATTGAAAACTTATCTAATTCAACTCCACATGAAATCAAATCAAATACAATGAACCAGATTTCAACTCCTACACGATCGATCAACACCTACAAACAATGAACATGATTTCAACTCGTATAGGATTTCAACACCTACAAACAACGAACAGGATTTCAACATTTACAAAAACCCTAGAAAATCTCCACAAAAATCTGAATCGTCAAGTTCATCCTCACGTAATCTCCCACAAAATATCAATATGATCTTTAGCTGTCAAATTGAAAACAACGTATATTATAAACAAGGGTAAGACAGGTATTTTACACTCTAAAATAACATTGAGGGACCTTAGGCTACAAAAGAACATATTGTGGACCTAATCCATTACTAAAAGTTGGATAGGGACCTTAAACCGATTTTCCCTTAAGAATAAGCATAAAAAAAAATTCTTTGAAATCCAACACATGAATTCCTTGAAAAGTCCCAACACATATGACTGTTATCCCTCATAATAACACTTTAATGCATTAAGAACAAGAATAAAAAAAAAATTCTTGAAAAGTCCAACATATATGATTATTATCAAAATATTAAACTTTAATATAATATAATAAAAAAAAGACATTTAATTCCTTGAAAAGTCTAACAAATATGATTATTATCAAAATATTAAACTTTAATATAATAAAAAAAAGGAAAAAAAGAAGGCATTTAAAAAAAAAAGACATTTAAAAATCGCTATTCACATATATAGATAATTACAAACGCAATCCGTGCATAGCACGAGTGATATGATAGTAAGATCTAATGGAATAATCAAAAAAAATATGGGTTGAATGAAATAAAACTCATAAAAAGGGAATTTATCAAAAAATCTCCCATTTAAAAATTACTCAATATTTGATTTTGTTGATCAAATTTATCTTACATATAGATTTTACACTATATAAATTTAGTTTCACCATACAACCACTCACACAAAAATTTATGAGTGGGCAAGTCTGGATCCCTAATATTTTTCGTTCAAAATTGGCTTGGTTAAGGTCATATTGGAACCAACAAGGCTAGTCTGATTGATTAAAACTCTTATATCTTATTGAA